TAATAATCCTCTAGTCCTGAGAGAAAAATAAATATCTAATGACCACAATATTTTGTTTTAATTTTTAATTTTTAATTTTGTTGAGGTGGCAAGACTAAACTTCAAAATAGAAGTAAGCACCCAAATAACATCATCTAAAACCGGGTTGCAGTCACCACCCATGGGCTGAAGTCGAACCCAAATTCAAAGCCCTAAGCGCAAACCACATTGTTTCAATCTAGGTAATGCTTATATTTTAGGAAAGGGTAAATTACAAATACATCCTAGATTTGATTAAAATATGAATCGTCTTTATAGTTTTGAAAATTATATTTCACCTCTAAGATTTCTAATTTTATAACAAAGCGCCTCTTTTATTAATAAATCATCAAGTTAATTAACAATTGTTAATAATGTTAAAAATTTGTTTCAATTAATAATTTAGGTAATTTTATTATTGTATAAGAGAGCAATTATAAATTTTATTTTTTAGTTAATTCTATTAAATAAATTTTTTTAATAGTAGAGTATTTGTAATTTTTTAAATTACAAAAATAATTTATATTTTAAACAGATTTCAAAGATATATTTATAATTTATCCAATAAAATAATTCCAAATCTATATATATATATATCTATATCTATATCTAGGTTTGTTTTCAGTCTGTTTGGCTTGTGGGTCTATTTGGGGCTCCTTTGATTATTTGATAGGTTCATCTTAAAGATATTTGTATGTAGATTATATATGAAAAAATATCATATTGAGCCGATAATCGTAGTGACATAATTTTATCATATTTGTTTTAAAAAAAATAAATTCACATATGTATAAGATAAATATGTTATATTATTGAAATGAGACATGTAATAGATCCACAGGACCAAACCAACTGGTTCTAAAAAAAAATACATACATAATTCTTTCTCTTGACTAATTCAAGATCCAAACAATGTCTCCATCAAATCCATGAAAGACTTGGACTATGGCATCTTGGTTCGGTTGACTTTTAGATCAGAGAAATGCTTGGTATGGTACAATATATTCATTGAATTTTACTCATTGAGAGGAATTGTGTCAAATAAAAATGATGAAAGTTTACCTTACTTCCATATGTATAATTAGCAGAAGAATCCCATTATGCAGTAATTTTTTTTTCAATTTTTCTATTTGTGCAGAAATTAATCACAGAATATTATCTTAGTGTGAGATCTCATATAAAAAGTTATGTCTAATTTTATAATTGTTTTATGTATTTCTATTTAAATGTCCCCAACTAACACTCTTCTTGAATAAACAATATTCCGTCTCACCTATAAATGAATTTTAGGGTGTCCTACTAGTACTTTTTCTATTTAAATGTATTAGAATCTATGTGCACTAAATTTGGACAATTTGAAGTTTGGAACACAAATCTTTTTATAATCAAATGCTTTGCATAATTCCATAATATCTACCATAAAAAACACTGCTACACTAGAATCTTCCAACTTTGATTTTTTTTTTTTTTTTAATGTTATATTTTTTAGAGTATTCTACACAGATTGCATCGTTCCAATTGATGAAATTGCATTAGACAAGGTATATTAGTAGAGAGTAATGGATAGATATATAGAGTAGAGTCTTTGAGCATACTAGGAACTAGCATTTAATTGCACTCCATATTTCATTGTTAATTATAGATAAGCTGGATATGGAAAAAAGATAGAATTACGAAATCGACCTTGTTTGAGATCACTAGGTGGTTGAGCCTTTGTCGTTCTCTCTTCATAGTTGGATTCTAACCCTAATCTCCACTCCCCTTTCCTTAAAACTATTGACCTTGTTCAAGACTTTATGTGTACGCTTTCCTGCTAGTAATTGAATCTTGATCTTTACTTCCCTTTCCTTAAAAATTAACCTATTTGGATTGAGTGATGTAGAAAGAAAAGGAAAAAAAAAGAAATGAAAATCATTTGATCCTTATCACTAGTTTGGATAACCAAAGCTTACATAATTGAGTGAAATGAGAAAAATAATTGAGAGAACCACTTCTCTCTCAATACCAACTTTTTAAATCTCACCAAAAATAGAGAGGTTTGGAGAGATAATAATCTAATTAGTAGACTTTTCTTAATACTAAAACAATCCATCTAAATATAGAAGAAATTAAGAGAAATAACATCACAAAAAGTTATTTTAGTCAAATAATATACACCATTTTCTTTTATTTTTTCTTACATATGCAATAATCAAATAAAAGAAGATATAAATCATTTGCTTAAAGATAAGGGGAAAAAAATAAGAGAAGAAACACATTTTTTTTCTTCTTTTTTTCTCTCAACTTAAGTAAATTTTTTATTATTATTTAATAAATGGAATGTAACTATGTAATGAAGTTTTTAAGAACAGAAAAAGAGCACTTGCTCAATGAAGAAACTCCAAACAACCAAAATTTTCCATACCCACAAAATTGGTGCTTTAGGGAGTGGGTTCTACTACTCATGGACATATTATAAGTGCCTCCAAAGGTATCCATCTAGAAAAGCATGCAGACAACATAATGCATGCAAAGAAAAACACACAAAGCAGACAGATTATACACTTCTTGGAGCCTTTGTGCAGCTTACAATCATGAATTAAAGGGACCTCCACCTTACTAAAGTTTCTCTAAGCAAACTTCTCACCACCCCCCTCCCATGGTGCCTAGTGGTGGGACCCTCTAATTCACTTGTGAGAGATTACATTTTGGCACGTGTAAGCTTTCCAATTGGCACGTTTGGTTCACGTGCCTTCTTCAAAATTTATATCTAAAGTCTATAATTCAGAACACTCAATAAAGTCATATCACAATTTTTTAAAATTTGTCTTTTTGTAACTTCTTTTAATTTTAATAAGAAATTCTAAATCAAATTTTGCACTTTCTTTCAATTTTAACAATTCACCTATCAGGTGTACAGACACCACTAATTTTAATATATATTTGATTAATTAATTACTTAACGAAAGTAAATGGATATGAGGTAGTTGGAGCAACCATGATCCTTTAAAAGTGCAAAAGAAGAAAAAAGAGAAGTGAAAGAGATAGTTGGGCTTTGGTGATCGATTTGCGCGTGTTTGTTTGTACGGAGATTAAGTTATAGTGCTTAATGCACCTAATTAAAGATTTTTGGATTAACATGGCTTGTTCTTTAGTGCTTTTAGTCACTGAGTCATCGTTAATTTTTTTTTCATGGGTTAATTGTATTTTTTTAATCTCTAACATTTTAATTGTGGCAAAGTGATTCCATAGTTAATGTTGTTAGTATTTATCATTAGAACTAGAAATAGTTTTAAAACAAAAATTATAACTTATAAAAAACTTTTTAATTTTAATGATAAATATGGACAACTTCAAACTAGAGGGATAAAAGGTGTTATTTGATTGGTTTAAAGTATACAATTTACATAGTTACTTGGTGATTAAGAAAATTCATTTAATTTTGGAATACTTTTGTTAGTTGGGGAGATAAATGTATGTTTTGTTGCGTAGGCCAAGTGAATGACTCTTATAATAATATGTTAATTCATTACAACATATAAGAGTTTTAAAGACTAAATATATTGGTCATTAAAAATGAAAATTTTGTTACCAAAGACATTTAGGGACTAATTTTCATTGCCATGGGGATAGTCACTAAAAGGTCATTCCGAAAAGTCAAAAACAAGGCTTTTAGCGACAAAATTTGGAAAATGTCACTAATAAATAGACTTTTAGGAATAAAATAATTTGGTCTCAAAATGGTTTATTTTTTGAGACAAAAAATTTGGTCCCAAAGGATAATAATTCGTCACTAATATCTAATTTGTGTTCCTAAAAAATATAATAACAACACTTTTTGCAATAAAATTATTTGGTTCCTAAAAAATAATTTTGCCTCTAAATTTTAGTCTCTAAAATCTGAATTTTTTGTAGTGATTGATTGTACCTTGTCAAATATTTAAGAGATAATAAATAATTAGCAAATCATTGATAAGAGGTAGAATCTTCAGATGACTTATTTGAAATCAAGTTTACAATTATTTTTTTGTTATGCTAATTGATGATTTTGTGGTGGCGAATCGATCGACCCGTCTTAAAATAAAAAATGAAAAAACGCGAGAGAGATCAGGATTTAACCTGCGTTTAATTCAACCCATGTTGAAATAACATTACAGAAGTTTATGGAAGTGAGGCTAGCATGTTGATTAATTAACAATTGATTAATCAATAATTAAGTAATTAATTAATCAATTGATTTAGCTGAAACAGAAACATATATGATCATATAGTGGGCTTTCACTTTCAATTTAGAATCTAAGTGTGTTTTAAGATGGATGGGGGGACCACCCCCAGTGCCCAACACAGCTTAACAATTACAAATTGCAATTACACGCAGCTAATCAGATCAAAGATCATTGTGAATAGATAGAGACCTCTCCCCTCTTTCAAAAACCAACCTCAATTTTTAAACCCTAAAATCATTAATCTACTCCTCCACTTATTATTCTATGCCATTATCCTAATAATTTATTATATAGTGTACACATACGGCGCCTATTCAATGCAAACACAATTCTATTATAAACACAGAAATAAACACATACTAATATATATGAATAAACAAAATTTAAAAAAAACACAATTCTGTAATCAATTTATATGTTCTTTATTCATCTGAACGTCGCACCTGGTTAAAAAAACAAAAAAAAAAACATTTCATTAGGCGAACTGCATTTTTTCCATAACACAGCATTAGTTGAATAATAATATAATAAATACCAAACAGGTATATTAGTTTCTCTTTTAACTAATCTCAAAAAGAGCAACCCATGATTAGATTCTAAGATATTTAAGCCTTTGCCGACTATATAGTACAGATCTTTCTAATTTTTTTTATATTGTATAGTATCAAAATTAATTGGTTTGATGAGATACGTGTACACGTATGATAACGGAAAGTTCATTTTTTAAAATCAATTTGTTGTTTAATGTGCTGTTGATTACTTGTCTAATAATGAGTTTGCAGCATAATTTTAAATAACATTGTCGACATAACTATTGGAAATATTTATGTCAAAAGTTTAAAATCTAAATTCATGCTAGAATAAGTATGGATCGATATTTAAAATGCTAGAACTGGAGTTGGCGAACAACACAAAATGCTTAGGCGTGCAGCGTGGCGTTAGGCTGAGGTTATCCTAACGTGGATAGGCTAATTATAAAGTTAAACAATGTCTAATCTAAACGCTAAAGACAAAAACACAGTCTATTATTAACCACCTTTTGTCTACCATCATTGTTTAAAGGCTATAACCTATGGCTTAATGTCGATCAACATACACAACATTCCCTCCCTCTCACCTTAGATTTATGGATATACAAATCATGAATTTCAAGACCCTTCTTCTATTTTCTTTTCTTTTTTTTTTCTTTTTTTTGTTGTTGTATTTTTAGTACAATATATATAGTAGTAGTTGAAGCTAGTAAGGATATATAGAGCTTGCTTTGCTTTCATTTCTCAACTTTCTATTTTGTCATCACTCTCTATACTAAATAAAGAAGCCATTTTTGATTTTTGGGTTCTCTCCTCTCTCTCTCATCACGTTGTGCATCTGTATGTATGTATTGCTAGAGAGCATGGCATTTAGGGGTTGTTTCAATATACGAAGCTACAATGGGCAAATCGATGGTGTTCGAGTGGAAGATTTTGAAAAGAGTTGTGAGGTAGGCCCAGCTCAGCATGTGTTCTTCACAGATACATTGGGTGACCCCATCTCTCGAATCCGAAACAGTCCGATGCACAACATGCTGGTACCACTTTACACACCATTCTCTTCTTCTCTCTCTTTTTTTTATAGAAAAAATCACAAGCATGTTCGGGATTTCGCTCGCAACTAATCTCATATATATGTGTTCATGATTGATGTTTTGTTAGGTAGCTGAATTGGACAATGAGCTTGTGGGTGTCATTCAAGGCTCTATAAAGGTGGTCACTATTCATAGCCCTTCTAAAGATGTAGCCAAGGTGGGTTACATTTTAGGCCTTAGGGTCTCACCACCTCACCGTCAAAAAGGGATTGGTTCGAGCCTGGTTCACCATTTGGAAGAATGGTTCATAGCCAACCAAGTCGACTACGCTTACATGGCCACCGAAAAAGACAACAAAGCCTGTGTCAATCTTTTCATCAAGAAGCTCGGTTTCATCAAATTCAGAACTCCAGCGATTCTCGTGCACCCAGCGATCAATTTCTCTCAAAATCTACCATCAAACGTTGAGATAGTGAAGCTCAAGACAGAACAAGCCGCGTTTCTCTACAAGAAATTCATGGGTTCAATGGAGTTTTTCCCTCATGACATAGACAAAGTGCTTGGAAACAAGTTGAGCTTAGGGACATGGGTGGCCTATCCACGTGGCGAGGCCTCGCCAACATGTGAGTTTGGCGTAGAAGGGCAGGTTCCGAATAGTTGGGCAATGCTGAGTGTTTGGAACAGTGGAGAGATTTTCAAGCTCAAGATAGGTAAATCAACATTGTCTTGCTTTGTATATGAAATTTACTCTAGATTGTTCCATAGGCTGTTCCCATGCTTGACAGTGCCTCATGAACTGCCTGATTTCTTCGACCCATTCGGGTTTTATTTCATGTATGGGGTGCACCGGGAGGGTCCGTTGTCGGGGAAGCTGGTCCGAACCCTGTGCAAATTTGTGCACAACATGGCTGCAGAGTCTGAGGACTGTAAGGTTGTAGTGACAGAAGTAGGGGGTGGAGACAAGATGAAATTTCATATCCCACATTGGAAGTTTTTGTCATGCCCTGAGGACTTGTGGTGCATAAAGGCATTGAAGAATGAGGAGAAGATTACCTTACATGAATTGACAAAAGCCCCACCAACAAGACCTCTTTTTGTAGACCCAAGAGAGGTATGAAAACAAAAATAGTACTCTTGACTTTTCCACCTTGATTGATCCGAAAACACCCGATTCAAACTTGTGGGTCACCATCTTCTGTTCGCAAATTCTGTCCTTGTGTCTCAAAATACTCGTTATTATTAAATTATATGATCGTATTAATTTTGTTAAATCATGTAAGAAATTTGTTAAATCATGTAAGAAATTCAAGATATGAAAATTTTAATAATGGTGATAAATTAAAATTTGATATCGAAAGTTTGGTGTGCACCTTGCACTACAATTTTATTCCATTGTCTCAAATCATCTAGTAGCATTAAATCATGTAATAATCTACTTAAATCAAATGAGAATTTTGAAGTACAAAAATTTGAATAATTGTGAGTATTTTAGAACATGGGAATAAATTGACATTTAAAAAATAAGAGATAGATCTGATATGGAGAATCTCGTGCCAACCCGCCTTATGTATTGTTTGATACGAAAGTTTAAACAACGGCAAGTATTTTAAAAACAAGAATATATCGAAATTTGATATAGAGAATCTTTTGTTCACCTCGTATTGAAATTATGTCTCACTATGTCAAAACACTCACTATCATTGGATAATATAAGAATTTACGAAAAAAATTAATAATTATGAACATTATAGAATAGAGAATAAATTGAAATTTAAAGGACAAGAATAACTTGAAATTAACACAGAGGATCTCGTACCCACCCAGCTCATGTATTGTTGTTCGGTATGTCCATATCCATATCTCATGTGGTAGGGGGGCTTTTCTCTCCCGTTCCTTTCACATCTGTGACACAATATCTCAAAAGATTTCCCTAACTGGGTGCCCCCCACTGGGTCATGTCTTTGTTGGTAAATCCATCTTTTTGCCTAGCTTGTGACTTGGACTAATCAATCAGGGCTTAGTGGTCCATCTTTGTAATTTGTCCCATCTAGTACTCACTCACTCACTCATTCACTTAGGTTAAATTAAATCAAACCAGGCCATCACACCAGTACCTTCTCGTTGCATCTGTTTTGACATTATAATTATTATGATTTAAAACATCAACTAGTATCGTACCATAATATAATTTTCATTTGAAATGAAAGAATAAGAACGAAAACACAGTGGGTTGATTTGATTATGGGCTAATTAGGGCAGCTGATTTTCTTGACTTTCCATGGCCATAGTTAATGTTGACAAACAAACGTACAACTTTTGGTTATAGGGTTTTATTTCAAGTAATAACTAGTCATGGGTTTGATTTCAAGATTAGATAAAACAGCATGAGCTAGCTAGGTTTGTGTTCTCTTCTACCAAAGAAGGAATATGAGCCTTAGAGCCTCTCTATTCATTCATTCACTATCAATTCCTTTCTGATTGAAACACGCCAACTAAGACTTCTTAACAGATGATATCATAATTATGATTAGTATGGTGATGGTGGTGACAATGTTGGTGGGAATAATTATTCAATAGACCCAGAGTTTAAATAGTGCTCTCAAGTAGTCTCAAACCAATATCCTTGTTAATAATTTTATTAGTGGAATAATGCTAATACACTTTGTTAGATGGTTAAGAGATAATAAATAACTAATTTATGCTTCATTTGTTTCATTAGAACATATTTTTCAACATGAAATATTGTTTATGAAGTTTTTTGAAGAATAGTTTTTCTTTGTTTGGTTGTATCGTTGAAAATTAATTGTAGAATTAGTGGTAGTGGCGATGACCGTGGTAGTGTAGTGGTATTGATAAGATTTTAATGCAGAAGACATTCTCCACTTTATAAAATTAAAAAATATTTTTCATTCAAAAATACTTGTTAGTTGACCATTAAAAACGTTTTCAGTTAACTATTATTTTTCGCTGTACAAAACACATTCTTAAACAAACAGAACATTAATGTGCTATAAAAAAAAAAAAATTCATTTTAGTAGTTTTACGCAATAATATCATACAGTATTCTAAAATTACTCAATAATTTTTTAAGTTGGTGACGATGGTGATATTTGCAAAAGGCCAATCAGGGAAAAAACATAATATTCTAAAAAGGACATAGTAGATTTGAGAAGCTTTTTCATGGATGCGAGAAAAAATTGCAGTGAGTGGGGGCATGGCATCAATATCAATTCATGGTGAAGGAGTGGTTTATATGATTTAGCGGCTTTATTTGTCATATTCTTCATCCATACTTTCAATATTATTATTTTTCCTCTCTCTTTCTATATATATAGTATCTTCATTGTAATTTGTTGGGAATATTTAGCATCTTTATTTATCATATTCTCCATCCATACTTTCATTATTTTTTTTCTCTCATATGTATATATGTAGTATCTTCATTGTAATTTGTTGGGAATATATTTTGAAGAATAAAGTGTATTATCTATTTTGAAATAATAACAGGTTTACATATATACTATATCTATGTATCTTTAAAAATTTATCTGAAAAAGTGTCAAAACTCTAAATAATAGAGAAATTATTTTTTGTTCATGGGGAAACCTTACCTGGTATGCTAACTTAGTATTAATTAATTAAAACAAGACTCCTCAATAATAATAGGGTAAACTACTAATAGGTCATAATAGTTAAACTTAATTCTCATTAAGTCCTATTGAAAATAAGTCTTGGTAAAATTATCGCTAAAAATAATTTTTTTGTGACAATTTTTTACATACGTCGCTAAAAATTGACAATTAGTGACTTTTATTGTCATGATTTTTATGAATTGTCGCTAAAACTTACAATTAGTGACCTTTTTTTACGACAAATTTTTTCCATAAGACCTATTAGACAATAAGTCCACTTATTAGTACTCCATAATAATAGGTTTACTTAATTTTTTTGTGAACTGAAACATTATTTGTAACGCCTCGACCCTTTACACGTCATCGATATTGTCCGCTTTGGATCACGCCCGCACGGATTTGTTCTTCCCAGTGGGTCACCCATCCTAGAACTACTCCAGCCTAAGCACGCTTAACTGGGGAGTTCTAATAGGGATTTCACTACTTGGGAAAAGGCCTCGATGCTATATAAAGGTCCAGGTTTTTACTTTTATAACCCATAAACTCCCCTTTCCATTCCCGATGTGGGACACCGGGGCCTTACATTATTGTTGTGTTCAATCGCGGAGCCAGAAAATTAAATTAGAGGGGACACTTATTAATTACAATATCGAAAATTTTTACAAAAATATTTTATGCAAGTTTTTATGATTTATTTTGAAAAGTATCAAAAAAAATAATGTTATTTGTAACTAGTGTATCATAGACAATACAAAAAAAAATAATATTGATATAAGTCTTAAAAAAAATTATATAATGATAAAAAAAATTTATACAAAATTTGATTAAAAATTTAATATAATGTTAATACTACTTCATCATTGATATGTGATATCACATTCATTAATATGTGAACCTCACATGTCAAATGTAACTAACAATCCAATAAATTTTATATCTTTATAGTAAGATTACTTATACTTGCATGTCAATAATAATGATATCACCATTACATTAAAAAAATTTCATGGATAATATGGTTTATAGTAGTCTCTTCATTTTCAATTAAAACAACCATTATTGTTCTCATAATTTTTAAAATGTCATTGACGTTTCACTCTAATAATATTTTTGTAATTTTTTTATTTAAAATATTTTATTTATATTTGCATAAAAAATTTTAAAAAAATCCCAAAATCTATAGGAGGCACGTGACCCCCCGGCTTTCACTCCCTCTGCCACTAGTTGTGTTTGGTTGGAAGATTTAGAAAGAGATTGAGAAAAAATGTGTGGAATTAAGCAAAATATAGATATATTTTATTCATATTTCCTTTATTTTTTTTCTTTTTTTTTTCGAATCTCTTTTCAAATGTTCTAACTAAACATAACGTATATGTCTCTATTTTCTTCTTTAAGCTATTTTTTATAGGGAGACTTATTTATAAGTCTTTTTTCAGACACTTATGATAGGCTAAGTCTTGTGTAATTTCTTATAGAGTCTCAAGTACTATTTAGATAGGAATGTATTTCACAAGATCCTACATAAACCTAACGTAACGTGACACTTACATAAACGTAACGTTGTTACGTTACGTAACGTGACACCTATACGTAATGTGATATCTACATAAACGTAACGTGACACCTACATAAACGTAACATAACGTGTCACGTTACGTTTCGCAAACTTAATGAGTTTTTATTTTTTAAAATTGAATGTGAAAATGTTGTTGGTTTATATTGGTGTCACGTTACGTTTCATATAAATATGATCTATGATAATATTCAATTTCCTATATAGGAAATTGAATGTTGCCATAAATCATAAGTGTCACGTTACGTTTATGTAGGTGTCACGTTACGTTACGTTTATATAGATATGATCTATGGCAATATTCAAATTGAATGTTGCCATAGATCATAGGTGTCACGTTACATTTATGTAGGTGTCACGTTACGTTACGTTTATATAGATATGATCTATGGTAACATTCAGTTTCCTATATATGGTTTTACTATTGTTTATGATATTAACAACTAATATTGAGGGTAAATGTGTCAATAAACTTCTCACAGGACTTATGAAAACATAAATTTTTTAGTAGGACCATATGTAGCATAAGTCTCCCTGATAGGACTTATAAATAATTTTTTTTTTTTTTTTTTTTTTTTATTACATGATAAGTCACTCTGATAAAATAATAATAATAATTTAAGTGAATTTTTATTTTTTAAAAAAATCTATAATATACATTATACACACACAAAAAAAAAAAGATTGTTATAATCTTAAATGATTTGAGAAATTTTCCAACCGACTTTGGCTAGTGGAGCAGAGAATAATAAGATTGACAATAATGAGCCATTTGAGAGATATGTCGTACGTGTCCTCTTCAGTGAGAAGACACGTGTCCTCTCTATCGCCCTTAACCTCTATTCTCTAGTGTTAATAGACCCACTTAATAGCTTATGATTGGTGGCTAAGTGTATCCTATTCATGGCAATTATTTAATAATTTCATAACATTACATTGCTATACTTCAAACTAATCATTAATTATTTAGTTTTCATTTTATTCCCTCAATCTTAAAATAAACCGTGAGTCTCTATTCCTCCCTATGAATTAAAACCTTATAAAATATCACATATTTATATTTTAA